AAAATAAAATACTCAAATACATCTTCTTTTAAGATCTTTATTGCGGTTTGAAACATTGTGGGAGTGTATTTATTACCAACCGTCTAATGAACTATGCATAGTCACATATTGATTAAAAGTACTGCTGTCTGCTTTGCTATTGGTGTCGTGTTTAATCTGCCATGCGTTGGGGTATAAATGAGGTCTGATGAGTCATTCTAGTATCAAGATGAATTTTTCGTACCATTACATCTGCAAAGAGACGTCCTAGTCCACAATTGCGTAGGGGGCCTACCAGGTGTCAGTGACGGGGCTCCTAATAGGTCGGGGGCCCCTAAGCAACTGCATACTCTGCTTACCGATAGTTACACCATTGATTAAAGATGATAGACACAGAATTCCTGCTCTTTCCAGAACTAAATTTTGAATTATTTGGGGTAAAGATAAAATTATGTGCCTCTGCAAGTCATCTAGGAGTCTTCAGTGAAGTCATAGATAAATAAATACTTTAATAATAACCTAAAAATGTATTAAATGTGAATATTAGTAGATTTAAATATCATTTTTGAACAGAATGATTATTGATAAAAGTAGGTAATGACAATTGAAATATGTTCGCCCCAGAACTCAAACCTGAAACAATTTTGTCCTCTATACCTTTTATCTACACAGCATAGACGTTTAAATATATGTGTCTATTTGTTAGCAAAGGCTGCAGGAAAGTATAGTTTGTGTAATGTAGATTGACCCTGAGGCTATGGTGCCTTTTGGTCACCTCTGTTAGGATTTTCTGTCTACGCCTCTGGGGAAAACAATACATATAAAGTCTTTAATTAAAGTTAAACTCATATAATTTCATTTTCTTTTCTCTTAGAAAACAAAGCACTGCATCAGCGTAAAGTTGAAGGAAAATTATGCCATTTTTTCCCCCCTAATAGTGTTCACAAATATATAAAACTGAAAAGTGTGCAAGCTACTCTAATTTCTTTTCTTTTACTCTGACACCCCTTAATAAAATCTATATTGGCTGGTTGCAGAGTTGGGTAGAGTGCCCAAAAATTGTACTCAAGAAAGAGCAAATACAAGTACTGAGTAAATGTTTAATATTAGAAAGACAGACCAAAATGGAAGGTTTTTTTCATAATTTAAAGTATATATTTTAAGAATTAAAACAAATGAATGCTGTTATTAAATAAATAAGAAACCAAGGCAGTAGAAACACATTTTTAAACCAATTTTCTTTTTAACCTAAACCTTATAAACCCTGTGTAGTGGCTAAATGTCCGTGCTTAAATGTTTCTTATGATGAATGCAAATAACCACTCAGTCAGACGGAAACAACGAGTCCACGCGTGTTGATATTTGAACGACGATACGTCTTTATTTCCAGTCAGAACAAAGCACGCAGCTCTGCAACGTCATCGCTAAACGTCAATTCCTATCAGCTATCCATTCAAGATAATTCTTAGCACTACAAATGCAGATTGAAACTAAAGGAAATTCTGAAAATAGTAAAGCAGTAACGTATTTATAATGCAATCAGAAATATTCTATAATATGCAAATACTGAACATATCCAAAAATAATAACTAAATATGAACGTAAAATGCTAAATAGAAAATGGCACCAACACACTGCCTCCAGTGACAATATATTAACTCGACCTCCAAATATAACAGCATTTTAATTAGATATAAAGTAACCTTGTGCAGAAAAAAAGGAAATCTCATTTTGACATACAAATTAACCGTGTGTTATTGTCTGGAGAAATAATACTTAAAAGGTTACTCATATTGGAATAGACAAACATTTTACTCAAGTAAGAGTAGCATCACTTTACTGATATATTACTAAAGCAAAAGTAAAAATTAGGATTCAGTAAAACTACTTCTAAAAATATAGCTAGTTACTGCCCACCTCTGACTGGCTATTAAAAGCTCTATGGTGAGACAGGGTGATGGCAGCATTATGCTGTGGGGTAAGCCTTGCCTGGAAGTTTGGAGGAATGTGAGGCTGAATAGAAGCTCAAGGCTGGATAAGAAGAATGTGACCCTGAAAATAAAACTAAATTGTTTTGATGGAATCAAAATGATGTGACATGTTCCACTCAAAGTCTGAACCTGATCTGAAAGGAGGATCTGTGGAAAGTCTTCCAGATCCGATCCATCTTAGTTTGTCATCAGTAGGGGGCAAACAAATTCAGTCTCCAGGTTTATAGAAACATGGAAAATGTTTTTCACAAAGTATTGACTCAAGAGGGTATGAATATAAGCACTTTCCTGTTAAAAGTATAGGATGTTTTTAGGGTTAATCAAAATAAGTGATCGTCCTTATTGTCAATCATTCTGGCGATATCTTTACGTAAGGCCGTCCTACATGCTCGTCCCAAGTTTTACTTACCGGGGGTGAGTCTGACATAGTGGGACAATTGCAAATCTTTTTTTGTAAAGTAAGCTTGTATGAGCGATGCAAACAGCAACTTTCAATCGGCTTGTGCACAAGGAGAAATGGGCTAGTGCACGCTTTTGCATGCTTTTAATAGGCCCTCCCCCTCTGGTGCAGGTACAGGGTGGTGCATGTGCATTTTTTTTTTTTAAATGGAGATGGCGGGTCTTTTCAAAAATTAGCAAAAACCTTCCACTATAACTTTAACTATGTGTTGAGATTTGTGGTCGAAATATGGGCAACTTTACAGGTGTTAATACTTCT